GAGGTCCATTAAACCATAGGCCCTCTGGAGAGATGTTGACAAGATAGTCTTGTTGCCATAGTTGGAAATGATAGAAGACCACTGCCTCTAAACCCAGAATAAATGTACTGCTTCACAGGAACAGGCTGAGTGCAGTAGTTTCTTACTGGCATTTCTCTAGGTGGAGACCGAAGAGTGAGCATCCTTTCTTGGCTTGGTCAAGTGGTACTGCCTCCTGTCCCATTCACAAGCATTCTTTATGCTCTCCTCAGGCAAACATTACAGACAAAATTCTCAAAATATTTACAAGTACACAGCCCTTGTATTTGAGAATAAAAAAAAAAACAAAGAATATTTTATGCTTTTCCTGTAAATGAAGATACTGTGAGTGGTGAAATTTAGCGATACGTAGGTCTGAGATTATTATTTTTCATCGTCCTTATCCCTTCATTTTAGTATAGTTATATATTTACTTCAGCTTAATAATTCACTACAGTAATACTTTTGATGAGGGAGCATAGCATAGTGGCAAGAACATTATCTTTGGAGTCGGAGAACTTGGGTATAAATCCTACCTCTGACTCTTACTACACCTGCTACCTTAGACAAGTCATTTTAACCTTCCTGGGCCTCAGGAATCTCCTCTGCAAAACTGAGTAAGATGACTTTTGACATCCTTTCCAACTCTAAATGTGTGATTCTTATATTTTTACGAATCTACACATGTATATGTCATTCACACATTTCACTTCCATTGGTTTAATTTTGAGAACTTTTCATTTTTTGATTGCTTGATTACTTAAACACTATATACTTTTTGTATTATTAACAAATACTTTTTGTATTATTAAATTCTGTATAAGATTTCATATACTGACACATTCTGTTTTACTGAATCCTGTATAAGTCCTGGTAATGTATTTTACTGTAAGAAATTTGGAAGCACTAAGTTGCTACTATCTAGGGTAGTCAAAATGTTCATATTGTTTATTAATTGGCTGGTTGGTTGGTTTTTTTTTTTTTGCATTTTTTTGCATTTAAGCAGACCCAGACTGCTTGCCTTTTATAAAGGTAAAATGCCCTATAACTGTGTAGGGTGAAAATACCTATACCTTAAATCAATAAAGAGTTGATATATGGTGCTATTTCTGTAACTGAGCCTAATTTTCTTCTTATCTTGGTGAGAAAAATTAAAATTTTATTTAATTTGCCCTGGCAAGTTACATGGATCTATGGGGGCATTATAGGTCCCCTTTGGGATAATGGAACCAGAAAAAATTACCTGGACCTGGGGATCATGTATATTAGAGAGCCTCACAGAGAATTTTAATAGTCCTGTGTTGAAAAGGGACACTTTTTGTTTTCGAATGCCTTGTCTAGAAAGGAACAGTTTTAGTGTAGATCTCAGTTGAATGGTCTTACCTACTGTTGGGATCATTGGAAGAGTCTCTACCCAGGATAATTTTCTCATTTGAGAAAGAAGCAATGCCAATTTGACCCCAGGTCCCAAAATCCCTGTGGGAGACACCATGTAGTTTGGCAAGCTCATTGTGGACAAGATTTCTGATTGAAACAGAAGTCAATTTTCTTTGTCTTTGCTTTCTCTTGCTTATGGATTGGGAAAGGCCCTGTAAGGCTAAGCAAGCAGAGATAATTTGCTAAACATTGTAAAAATGCTTATTATTTTGTTGGATTATTTTGGGAACTTTAAAATGTTCCTTGTTCTATGAATCTGCAAAACTTTGTATTTGTAAATAATTTACTTTCATCTGTATAGTGAGATTGCATGTGATATTTGAGACTTCACTGGATGGCACTGGGGAAGTAAGTGAATGGATATTGCTTATGCCTCCTCAGAGATCATAGGGAACAGTTCTGAATTTGGGACAAGAACTATGGTTTTAAAATTTATTTTTAATTTTTTATTAATTATATTAATTAATAATTTAAATAAATAAAAATAATTAACAAAAATTCGTCTTTTTTTAAAGTTATCTCTGCCTATTTGTCGAGGATCCAAATGTCATGACCTGGGTTGGTCTGGGCATGCCCAGTTCAGGTAAGAGTGGAAGGACTCTTCCTTTACCCTGGCTTTAAGAAATGGCTCTAGGGGTGTTTGTTTCTCTTCTGTGTTGTTTGTCCTCAGTTTCAGGTACTGGAGATGAACCCCACAGGCCAAGGTTTTCAAGCCATGATGACCTTGGAGCCAAGATTATAAGCTCAGGAGTGTGGCCAGCCACCCCAGCACGGATGCCCTGAGAAGACAGTGTGTCTGGGACTCAAGCCCAAAGGTGGTTTTGGACTCGGAACATGGACTATGTTCTATGAGAACCAAGCTAAGCTATGAACCTAATCCCCCTCCCCACTCCAGAAACTGAAGTTGGGAGGGAGGTAGCAGAGAAGAGGATTTAGCCTCCTACATGTTGGGGGAATAAGTTTATATATTTGTGATTATATCTTTTGAAGTAAACATGTCTGTGTAAAAGTTCATCTGTGAGTGACTAATGGAACTGGGAAACACCACAGGTAGGGGTTGGAGCTATCTGCAGAAAGCCTATACACACCCCCACATCTCCTTAAAAGTACCAGAGAACCCTGGAGGGAAAGCAGAAATGCAACCTATTTGGCCTTTAGGTGGTGAAGACCAAGCTGGAGTATCAGTAAAAAGACATTATAGTGGGCACCCACAAGCTCTCGAGACAGAATGATTTTTGTTTCACTATTGGGCCATGCTCCAAAAAGATACAGGTGAGACAGTGAAGTCCCAGGCCAAAGAAGGCTAGTGGTGTTCACATTTGTGATAAGAAATGAATAGCAGTGGGAGCAGGAGTGAAGACGTGTGCTTTCAGGGTTTCAAAAATTTCACTACTCACAGATGATCATGAAACCTCCTCTATAAACCTCTCTATGGACCAGTGGAATGAGAAGAGACACCTGGAAGAGAGCACATTTCTTCTAATTCTTTCCCCTACCCAGACAGCCACTGGGATTCATCTGGCCTCTCACATGAAACGGACAGTTGATATGTCAGCATGTCCTACTAGCAAGCTAGAAAAACCATAAAAGGATTGTTCATATTTTTAAAATTCCTCCCTTGGTGATGAACCTTTTCAACTCAATAACAAGACTTTGTTGACCAGATATAAAAATGCTCATTTTCAATCTGTTGAGGTGACCCTGGCTCTTTTTTCCCCTTTTCAGTTTTTTTTTCCTCTCGCCTTAAAAGTTCAGAATGTCTCAAACAGTAACTGTTACATTCTGTCTAGCAACCTCGGACTGTGGACAGTGATCTAACCTCTTGGAAAAAACATGGAGTTCACCCAAAAAACTGAGAGAGACATTTTCTAGCCCTAGCCGCCGACTCATAGGTTTTCAAAGCCTTCAGACAGACCTCATGAACAGCTCAGGGCTCGAAGCATGTCAGCCTGGCGGTGCCAATGCAAACACAGAGAGCACTTCAGCAGGTATAACCAGCAGCCACACACCAAGCAAAGGCCCAGGGAGGCAGTCAATCAGAGGAGGAAAAGCTTGCCAGCTCGGCATATGATACTACCTTCCACCACTGGACTTCCTTTGTGTCTGAGGACACACAGAATGAAGGACACTCCCCAAATTGACTGGAAATCAAGGAGTGATCAAGAGACATTTTTGGGATTGCAATAATAATGCAATAGTTTTTTTTTTTTCTCCAACAGAGAAAGACAATACTGATAAACAGTTCAGGACTCTGAGATCCACAAATGGGACTTTTTTCTACTGAGTATTCTAACTATTAGTAGTGATGTTTTATCTCGCTACCAGACCATAAGACCCATGAAGGCAAGTTTCCTGTCTAATCTAAACTAACCTTCCTTCCTTCTCTCTTGATTCTCTCACTTTAAAAGTTCAGAATGTCTCAAACAGTAACTTCCTTCCTTCCTTCTCTTTTTCCTTCCTTCTTTCCTTTTTGATTTTTTCTTCTCACTTTAAAAGTTCAGAATATCTCAAATAGTAACTCCCTCCCCCCTCCCTTCCTTCCTTCCTTCTTTTCCTTTTTCCTTCCTTCCTCCCTTCCTCCTTTCTTCTCCTCTTCTTTTTCTTCTCTATGTCCCCTTTCCTCCTCCCCTACCTCTCTCCCTTCCTTTTCTGTCCCTTCACATTTCACCCAAGCTGGAAGTACAGCAGCCACTCACAGGCGCCATCCCACAACTGATCATCACAGAAGCTTTGACTTGTTCTATTTCCAACCTGGGCCAGTGCCCCCTTCCTTAGACAACCTTGTGGCCTCTTGCTATCAGGGGCTCACCATATTGGTGTCAGACTTAATGCAAACTCCAGATGAGCTTAGCACACTGCAGCTCAGAATCCCCAAACTCAATCAATCCACCAGCTTTAGCTTTCCACAGAAGCAAGGGATTACAGGAATACACCATCACCATATATCTTTCCCATTACCCAGGATGGTGCTCTACACATGTATTCTCCAAAATTTCAAGCGCTTGTGATTTCTTCGGTGTGGGTTCTTGTCCACAGACATACATCATAGCTCCTCTATGACTCGGCAGAAATTTTTTGTGTTTACTGTGTGTTTCTGAAAAATGCATCACCTGAGAATAAACTTCTCCAAATTTAGCTAGGATGGTGTTCTGAAGGAAAATCTCTTACCAGGTCAATTCTTCAAGTCTTTGCAGCTTGGTAAGACTTGCTCCAGCTTACAATTCTTCTGAAACAGTCAAAGTCATCTGCATGGTATAATGACGTATCAGAGAACACTTTAGTGAAGGCTTTTTAGTATTTTTTAATGAAGTGGAATTGGAAAAAGGGATCACCAATTTTCCCTATAATTGTGGTCCATGACCATTCTGATTAGTTTTTAATTGCAGGTAAATGGAAGGTCCAAACCTCTGATTTCATTAACATATGGAGCTCCCTATATGGAAATCCCTTCTACTGATGGAAATTCCATCTATTACTTAGAGTATTTCGAAAGTTATTTGGGGTATTGAAAATAATTTGCTGGGGCAGCCAGGTGGCACAGTGGATAGAGCACTGGCCCTGAAGTCAGGAGGACCTGAGTTCAAATCCGGCCTCAGACCAAACACTTGACACTATCTGTGTGACCCTGGGAAAGTCACTTAACTTCAATTGCTGAGAAAAAACAAAGAAAGAAAAAATAAAATAAAATATTTTGACCCTGGTCACACTGCTAGTATTTGTAAGAGGCAAGGCTTTGAACCTAGGTTTTCCTGACTGCAAGGCTAGCCCTCTATCAACTACACATCATTCAAATAGTCATACTACTACTAAACACTAGAAGACTTCCACCCAAGATGGCCATCTGAATGATTGGAGGCCTGCAACTCCCATATAATCTACTCCAGCAAAACCTTAAAGTTCACACTAGACTGAATAATGATCAAGAAATCAAATGAGAAATTTCCATCTCAGAAATGCACAAAAATTTGGCCACAAAAATAGGGGCAAGAGGAAAGGGGAATGCTCAAACAAACAAAGCAGAAACAGAAGTAGAACACATGTATCCAACAAAGCAGCTTTGTGTTCAGACATAGCAAGAGTGGAAGGGTCCCTTGACAAAGCCCTAGAAGGGTAAGAAAGACCCCCCAGAGTGGGGACATTGGAAGTCCCAGGAGCAGCAAGGAGTAGAAATCATAATACACCAACCAACATGGTGCTGTAGCACGAGAACAGCCCAAGTCTAGGTATTCTGAGGTCCTTAATACTGTGTCTTAAGATTCCAGAGAGGTCCCTGATGATCCAGTGTCCAAAACCACATAGGTTCAGGAGGGTCTAATCCTAGATTGTTGAGGTCAGTATAGAACTCAGGAGATTCAGGTGAAGATCAAGCAAGGATAACCATTCTACCAAAAGTATAGTTCCTGGCCTAACATGATGCTCCAATTCAAAAAGTAAAACTAGAAAGGTGAATAAAATAAAGAAAAACACCCAAAAGTATAAAATAATAATGTAAAATGTAATGCAAATGTGCATCAATATGCAGATCTAACTCCTTAACAGCTTCAAGTAGAAAATCAAAGGAAAAATGGATTTTCCAAAGGAATTACCTGTCTACCTAGAAGAAATGGAGTGAGAGACAAGAAAGAAAGAAACAAGGAAAGAAAAAAGAAAGAAGAGCTCTGCAGGAAACATTAGGAAAATAAATAGCTTAGAAGAGAATGTAGTAAACCTTACTCAAGAAATGGATTCTCTGAAAGCTATGACAGATTAGCCAGAGATCAATTACTGTATGAGACAGCAAGAAATATTAGAACAAAATCAAAAGATTTTAATAGAAAAAATAATATAGATATTAAGACAATTGACTTAGGTAACTGGGTTGAGGAGAGAAAATTTAACACTCACTGGACTTTCTAAAAACTACAATGTGAAAAAAAAGCCTCAATGTTATATTTCAAGAAATCATAAACAAAAACTGCCCAAATCTATTAAACCTAAAGGACAAAGTAAAGGTAAAAAAAAAAAATCAGCTGATCATCTCCTGAAAGTAACCCTGAAATGAAAAACCTCAAAAAGTGACAATAAAATCCAGAGCTCCCATGTCAAACAAAAAATACTGCAACAATCCAGAAAGTTCAAGTACCAAGGAATTACAGTCCACATCACACAAGACCAACAATGTGTGCTAAAAACAAGAGATCTTAAAAAACAATATTCCAAAAGTCAAAATATATAGGCTTAAAATCAAGAATAACAACACCTGAAAAGCTGAAGAAGGGTGGGTGGTAGATGAATCTTTAATGTAATAGAGGACTTTTAAGAATTCTTGATGAAGAGAACTAAGTAGAAACTTTCAGATACAAACACAAGAATCCAGAAAAAAAGAACAAAGGTAAATTTATTTGAGCATTTGGAAGAAGCTGCATGATGATGTAATGTTAACATTCTAATAGAGAGAGAGAAGAAACAAGTATCCCTGAAGAACCTTAATGTCATTTAAAGGGTATTGAAGTGAGAATGAGAAATAAATAGATAGATAGATAGATAGATAGATAGATAGATAGATAGATGAATGAATGAATGAATAAATAAGTAGATAGAAAGATAAATAAATAAACAAACAAACAAGGGTACTGGGGTAGATTGGTTCTGTTTTGATGGTTTTAAGAGGAAGTAAGAGAGGGCAAAAGGAAGAGTACACTACTGTAGAAAATAAGAATGGGGGTGGAACTTGCAATTTCTCAAAATTGGGATGCACAAAAGGAATATTCAAACAATATACAAATATGGAGGAAGGGATTGGGGGAGTGGTATCAAATGATCAAATGAACTTCACTTTTATCTGAAAGGACAAGGGAGGGTTTAACACACACACACACACACACACAATTTGGGGTACAAATACATCAAACTCAACAAGAAACACAGTTAGGTTTGTCTGTCTGCTAGATGGCAAAGTGAATAGGTCTGGAGTCAGGAAGACTTATCTTCCTGAGTTCAAATCTGGCCTCAGACACTTACTAGCCATATGAC